ACCAGAATCGATAGCATATATGTTGTTTACGAATTACAAGGTCAACCACTTCTTTGCAATGTCTTTCTTGTCTGTTAAGCACTGCTTTTTCTTATGTAGTGGTGTCTTTTGCTTTTGAACAACAGATTTTCCTAGTGGTACTCTAAGAAAATTATTAAAGTTTGTTTCCATGTCCTCTTGTCGTTTTATAAGTCTCTCCAAAGTTTTCTCCACACATAATTCTTTATTGTCTGTTCCAGTTTTTTCATCCTCTAAAGGTACACGTATTCCAATTTTACTCCATTTTAACCATTTGACACGTTCGTCGGTATCCATACGGTGAACTTGATCGAGATGATTTGCTAGTCGAGCAAGATTGGTGCTTCCACATCCAAAGACAGRACAGTTTCTTCGCGTTCGACCCATGTTTACTTGACCAGTGACTCACTGCAAATGGAAGCTTTCTATTGCGTTTTTATGTATTTATTAGGCCCGAWKTGGCCCGAAGTGGCATTTTGTGGCCCCATAAGGCCCGATGGCCCGTTTGGTTGTAGATCCTTTTCCCTATACAAGCATGCCCAAACTTGTTTGATTCCACCATTGTTTGATCTTTTACGTCATCGTAAAAGTGCTTGCCTTGCTGTTTTGCGCTATAAAGCTAGCGATTTTCTCATATTTTCTCATTCTACATCGGAACTTTGTGCTGTGAACATCTCCAAACAAATCTCCTACTCGTCTCGACAATATGCAAGCTTTGGGTCTTTTTTCGCGTCGTTCTCTTCTTGGTCGGTCCAACAAGAGTACTGTCCTTTTAGAAAAAATTGCCCAAGAAAATTCCCTAAATAGAACTGGCGCTGTTAACTACAACTAGTATGGGAAGCAGGAAGGCGTCGGATTTATTTAGGGAATTTTCTTGGGCAATTTTTTCTAAAAGGACAGTACTCTTGTTGGACCGACCAAGAAGAGAACGACGCGAAAAAAGACCTAGAATAGGTTATAAAAAGAAAAATCATGACGCGTGCCTGATCCCATTGTTTGRAAAACATAAAACCAAGATGAATAATGATTAAGATATCAATCAGGATATAAGCCGCAGGATCGCAGTGAATCCCTGACCCAATGGATCACAAGCTGGAGTATATCATAGGATTGTTAGTTACTGAGTATGATCAATTCGATTACTCCAGACGCTGAATGAGTACCAATTCGCTTTTGGATAAAATACTTTACTGGAGATGAAAATACTTTAGAGTGGTATTTCTAAGTTCATGTTAGAAAGAATACATAATCGTTGTATAACTATGAAATATGGTTGAATAAAACCGGGATACGTTCCGAAAACTTTATTTTCATAAACATTGCATCTTTTCTACTATCCTAAGATCATAGGTGTTCTAAAATAGAAACATGTAACCAAATCCAAAGTCGAGATAATACAGTGAGCAAAAAATAGATACAGCTTGTCCAGGATAGGGATTTCGGGAGACTCGGCTCTGGAATATTAAAAACAGCCCCTGATTGGTTCATGCGTCTGATTATGTCATAATTCGGACTATTCTAAAAATAGATGTGACCAATCCAGGAGGATGCTCAGAAGCGRCTCTGATTCCTTCTCAAGAACTATGACGTCATAAYAGGGTTGTTCTAAAAAATAGATATGACCTATCCGAAAAGGAGGTGTGACATCACTATGAAGGATGTGACGTCATTTAATGGGGCTGACGTCATTGCAAGGGTTGATCCACGATCCACCCTGATCCACCCGACGCAGAACCCCTATTCTGTATACTACTGGCAATGTTTGTTTAATTTATTTTAAGTACTAAAGTTACAAAATATAAAATAACTATATTCCCATTAGTTACTTTGTCACTTGATTAAGGCTAGGCGTCAAGTCCAGGAAGCACTATGGTTTGTTCTGGATACTTCTCAAGGACTTTTGCAAGTGTTCATAAAATCTTTATAGGGAACTTTCTTAAACCAAACCTTTTGTCCAGGAAACACTATGGTTCTATCTGGACATTTTTCAGGGACTTTTGGAAGTGCCCATTTAATCTTTACAAATTACTTTCTTAAATCAGACCTCTTATTTTTAAACCAGACTTCTGTTCCAGGACTAAGCACTATGGTTCTATTTCTAGTCTAGCAAGAAACTTGTTTCTACCTGGAAACTCGTCAGGGACTTTTAGTTCTGTTCATATAATCCTTACAGAGACAGTACTTTCTCAAGTCCGGCCTCTTGTCCAGGATACATCGAGGCTGTTCACCATATTTATTTATTCTGCTAATATCCCCAGTGACAGTAAAATGTCCTTCTTTAAATCTCACCGGTGCCTCAAAGAGCCCATCACCCGGGCTTGTTTGTATTTGTATTCTATAATTACATTCATTCAACTCTTTTCTCGTTTTGGAAAATCTTGGTATTCTTCCATGAATATCCTCTGATCCAAGAAATTGCTGAAATTTTGCATTAGGCATTTGTTGAAGACTTGAGGAAATGTTTTTCAGCTTCAACTGATGGCATAATGTAGCACTTCTTTCATCCAAAGTGAGCATCTTATTGATATGATTCACTAGAGCTTCCGAACCTAATTTTATATGCCTGTGTTTTGTGTCTGCAGCCTTTATATTTAAACAAGGGCAGTAGTGTTCAGCTACCCCTGCTGTTTCGCAGTCGCGTGATTTTGGAATCTTCTGAAACATGCTAGTACCTCGACTGTGATTAAACGATTTAGGTGGATCCGGGAACGTTAAGATGTGACGTAACGTTGCGTGGAGATCAAAAGGCGAGGTTAATAGTTCGGCGTTATGATGAATGCTGCTTAATATTTCTGGGTATTTGTTTTTGAACCAATCAGGAAACGTCAAAGATAATAATGGTAATCTTTCTTCTAAATGCCCTTGTAAAGTGGCTCTTGAAGCTCCATAACGAAAGCCATGGTCCCCAAATACTACTAGAAGCGTATCATTCAAAAAATTCCTTTCTTTCAGATTCTTTACAAATCTTGTGAAATCGTCTACAGCGAGTTGAACAGTGTTAAGGTTATTATGGGAAACGTCGGTAAAAAAAGCCACACCAAGTTTTGGGGTCTTAGGATAAGCCTCGAAAAATGTTTCTATGTATTCTAGGTGAATAAGGTGTTGGGGTTTGGAGTGAATACAATGTGGCTGCGTCATTTTAGCGCTCTCCCAAAAATATCGACTAAAATGGTCCGTAGGTGTATTGTTAAAGCCGTGGAGACGATAATTAAAAGCAGCAAAGTCTGGGCAATCTTCACTAAACATTGTAGCGTAGCCCGCGGTTTTATACTCTTTGAAAATCCATGGCCAGCGGTCTACCGGACTAGTGCCAGCAAAGTCGCGTCTTGCTTCGGGGAGATCCTTTTCAAAATGGCCTAAAATGAAGATCGCAACAAAAGTAAGAGTGTACGTTTGTACTGGTTAAAAAATATTTTTGATTAATTAATTAATTTGTTTGATTTTACATAATGTAATTTCATTGGTCCAAAGTAAAATAATATTCAAACCACAGGGTACCCAATCGTATATTTTGTAAGCTGTTGAGTAATAAATGTAAGTTTACCTGTTAAAAATGCCGTTAAAGCTGGTGTTGTGCCATCTCCAACTATGGAATATCCATCCATAAACACTGTTTTCAGCTCTTTTCTCATGTATTTGTAAGCTTCAGGAAAAACACGTTCAAAATTGGCCCTCGAAAGCGAGTCAAATCCTATCATTATGACATTAAGCGGGATCCCTGTGTTAATTCTTGGACGAGCAATAACATCTGGCTTGGGTACTACTGCGGCATGGTATTCCACATGGGTCTTGTTGTCTTTAGTTTTGGTCTCTACGCGGATAAACTCATGGGGTACTGGAATCTTCTTTATTTTTAYATCGATAGAGATATTTTGTCCAATATGGAATCCCCAGTCTTTTCCAGGATTTCGAGTAATTGGAAAATACACTGCGTGGGTAACCTTTGCGTCTATATATATTAAAAAAAGGCATTGAATTAGATGAAAATATATAGAATAAATACTTGTCAAAAATATACACCTATTTCAAAAAACGTTGTCGGTTGGATATCTGAAATCAGAAATTCGAGACCGATTGGAATTGTGGGGGACTGAGTGTTTTCTCGTTAAAAATTAAATATACATTTACCCAGATAGTTTGCGTGCGCATATCATCGCTCAAAGGTAGTACATCATGATATTAACTTTTTGCGAACTAATTAACTGATTAAAATCACAAACAATTACATCTTACAACCCTCAATTCCTTTGGTTTCAGATTTCAGATCTCCGACAGACAACGTTTTTTGAAATAGGTGTATATAACCCTGTGCTCAAGTTACATGATGACATTCCTGTGGAGGATCCAGGATTTTTCAAAGGGAGGTTCCGTTTCTTAAACTGTGTATAATTCTCTTTTGTTTAGTCGATGTTTGACAAAAAAATTGGCTCTAATCACCTAATTTACTATCTAGTAGCGGACCAAGCTATGATAACACGACCCAACGCAAAATTACTAATATTTTTTAAAATGAAAACTTATATAAGGCATATTTCTATTACCTAAAAGATAAAACCTTCAAAGAGGGTTCCGTGGACCCCTTCGACCCCCTCCCCCCCCTGTATCCGCCACTACACTCGGTCCTTTAATAATTTGCGTGTTGTTTTTTATGTTACTATTTTAAAATGGATGCTGCATTACGGTACTTACCGGGCAAAAATTCAATAGCTCCATTTCGAAAGTTGGTTATATGCTGCCCGTTGCAATGTAAAGGTTCCATTTTCTTGATAAACTTCATCATATTTTTATCAAATGGATTAAACTTTGTCAGTTTACAGCCCTCTGTGACGTTATCAATGACTGTGTCGTCGTCATCCACAGCGCACATGTCCAGCGGTTTTTCAAGTCCCTGCGCATGCGCTTTCTTGACAAACAAAGTGTGTCCCGGAGATCGTATAAGTATTCCTTTGATGTGACTTTTGAAGAAAACATGCCTAGATGACGTCATTGTAAAGCCTTGACATTTGTCAACGTAGGCGTCGCAAAGGAGTTTAGCTTGACCTCGAGTGAGCATGCGCCATGTTGTACATTCTTCGTCATCGCATGACATRTTGCCAGTAGCAACGTCAAGGTTGGTAAACTGTAAAATCACACATGCATTATTAGTTTTGGATGGAAATAAATTGAAAACAGTACTTGCTCTAAATAGAAAATAACTTTTGATTGTCGACAAAGATAAAGCCAATAAATTTAAAAACCAGTGCAACGAAAAACAAAGAAAAACCGAAAGAACTGAAAGAACTGAAAGAAAGAAACCGTGAAATAGAAAGGTAAAAACGAACAAACGGAATGAAAGAAAGAGAGAGAGAGAGAGAGAAAAAGAACATCCACATTCACACATGAATTGGAATTGGCCCTTTGCAGTTAACTTTCACGTGTTTGTTAATTCTGTAAAAAAAAAWWTTATTTCAAATTAATGATTCTTTTTAGCTACTTGTAAAGAACAGAATGAAACGATGTGTAACTAGTGTGTTACAAAATGTAGTTTTATTACGATCTTTTGGAGCAGGTTGTAGAAAGTTTGTTTGCTCACCACTAAATTTCACCTATGGGAATCAAATATTCATTCATTTGCTCTCAGTAAATTAATCAGCTGCAAAGGGCCTATTATCTTACCTTGACATATTCCTTTCTCACACGACTAATAGCGGTTGGTGTTGGCTGTGTTCGATACACTATCCTCGTAACTATCTTAGTCTGACAATCAACAAAAGGAACGAATGGTCCAAATCATTGATAGTATCCAACTATATACGCTAACTAATAATTAATTATACAGCTTCTCATTAATCCCATGTAGGTAACTGTCCAATTATTTTCTTAATTGGACAGGTCTTGTTGATATGGGATTAATTAGGCAGCTATATAATTAATAGGTAATGGGATTTCTTGCTCCCCAATCAAGAAATAATTAGACACGAAAAATTCCTCTGACTGCCAAATTGGACTCGGCCTACGGCCTTATTCAATTTTGTCAGTCCTCGGAATTTTCCTCGTCCAATTATTYCTTAATTGGACAGCATGAAGTCCTATTACATATACTAATCCATGATTTTACTCCCATGCGCGGAAAAAAATGCGCAGTTCCAAACAAGAGATTAGTATAGATCTTGATAAATATTTGATTAAGAAAATAAACGCAAGTATTGCTGGACGTTTCGATGACATCCTGTCATCATTTTCAACAACATTTAATGACAGATCAAGCGTGTGGAATTACTGTATGACAAAAATATATGTGCGTATTCAAACAAAAAGTTTTGCTTTCACTGAGGCCACGTCCACACTATGCCGGATAAATTTGAATCCGAATTTTTATTTATTCGGTTAGGCCTACCGTCCACACTAGTCCGGGCGATTCACCGAAAACAATTTTTTTCGAATACGGTCTCCAGAGTGGAACAATTTGAAAACGCCGGCTATCCGTATTAGTGTGGACGCAGAACTCTTATTCGGTTTCGGTTTGAAAATTCGTATTCAAATTTATTCGGCATAGTGTGGACGGGGCCAGAGTCTGATTGGATGTTCAGGGTTGGTTTTAATTCCCTGATGAACAATAAAACAAGGGAATTGACTTTAATAACAAGTGAAAAAAGGCTATATTTGTTTCCCTGTACCTTGATTAATTCAATGACTCTTGTTGGGATGTACGGCGTGATTTGATTTGTGGGTAACGGGGCCTTGGTCACTGAAATACCTCGTTGTTGCTGCTTTTGTTGCTGTAACCGAAAAACAAAATATGCCACGATAAAACTAGAATTACTTTTCTTTGCGACAAAGAAATGCTTACGTTAAGAACAAGAACAAGAATATGAACAAGAATGACAAGAAGTAATAATAGAAGAAAGAGGAAGGAGACAAAGAAGAAAAAGAAGAAGAAGAAGAAGAAGAAGAAGAAGAAGAAGAAGAAGAAGAAGAAGAAGAAGAAGAAGAGGAAGAAGAAGAAAAAGAAGAAGAAGAAAAAGAAGAAGAAGAAGAAGAAGA